ATTCATTAACTCCTCTTCCAGCATCTGGTGTGAGAAAGTGCTCCGATTTAAAAACAGATTTGTGCTTCTAGAGGTCAGGTATCCCGCTTTGTGGGAAGCCATTGAAGACTCTCTGGGTGTCTTTTTAGAAGACACAAGTACAATCTGTGCGATCCATGGCAAACATACAGTAGTTATGCCAAATGACCTCCAAATAGCACTCTGATACATGGAGAACTTTCATAAGAACCTACTCTGGGGCTGGGTGTGAGTGTGTAGCTGTGTGAAAGCCACCCATGCACGAGGCCCTGGGTTTGATCCACAGCATCTCAAAAACAACAAACCAAACCACTCTTGGTAGGTCTGATGTTAAACATCCCCTCTGTCCCCATGGTGTCAAAAGGTGCCTCAGTGGATGATTATAAGTAGAAAAGTAGGGGAGAGGAATCAGGTATTGGCAGCTTTTCCATTTTTATTTGCGTGTGAATTTTTTACATAAATGTTAAGTAAGATCAAAATGTTTCAGTGAATAACCTTTGGCGATTCAACTATATAATGATCATAAAGGTCTGCTTTTTTTTTTTTTTTTTTTTACTTTTTTTGGACCATGGCAGCTTTTAGATTTTTAAAAATCTAAGTTAACTTCTTCCTGACAGCCACTAAATGTTGTTTATTGAATTTTGATGGTACAGTGGATTTCACTCACTATGCCTTTCGGAGTTGACCTACATGCTAGTGCAGATTTTTAATACTGTCCATCTTCTGTGCTGTTTTTATAAATTTGCTACTAAAATACAGGAGGCCAGGCACTGTGACACATGCTGGTAATCTCACTTATTCCAGAGATTGGGGCAAGGGATTGCAAGTTCAGGGGCAGACAACTCTGCAACTTAGTGAGACCCTGTCTCAAAATAAAAACTTAAAAAGGACTGTGGATATAGCTCAGTGATGGAACGTCTCTGGGTTTAATCCACGGTACCTAAATAAATAAATACATGAAACTGTTAAAATGATATATACACAAGTATGTTCTTGAAGCATGTTTTATATTGGGGAAAAAAGAAACAGTCCCTTTGTCCATAAACAGGGCACTGTGTGAATAAACAATGGTATACCCATCCACAGGATACTTTGCAGCTCCTACATGGAATAAAGTAGATTTATGTGTACTCATTTTCCTAAACTTTTTCCAAATTTTTAGTTATCTCCCAAGGTTCAATGCTAGGACTCATGTAGACATGAATTTAAAACCAAAATACTTATTATTTGATACCATGTTTATATTTTTTCTCCATACATACTAAAAATACAGGGAATATGTAGACAGGAAATAGGAAGTGTCCACCATGCTGTGGGAACTGAACTGGAATTATTGAGCAGAGGAAATTAGTGACAGGGAGGGTTTGATGTTTTGCATTTTATACTTTATTACTTTGTGCTCTAACATACAAGAAATCAAAGTGTGTGTGTGTGTGTGTGTGTGTGTGTGTGTCTTTTTATAAATATATTGATATGGACAACCACCCTACCTTTGAGCTATAAGAATTCTTGTGGATTTAAGTATTCTTTGATAATTTCCCACTGAGCTAAACTACTGTGGAATGTCCAACCAAGTATGAGAAATTCATGGTCACTGACTTGGTACTGAAACTCCAAAACCAAGAAATAATTCTGGTAAAGTGGACAACACCTATAATTCCAACAACTCTGGAGGCTTAAGAAGGAGGGTCACAAATTCAAAACCACATAAGCAACTCTGTGTCTCCAAAAATAAAGAGGGTTGGCAAACTAGCTACGTGGAGAAGACCCCTGATTCAACACTTAGGCCATCAAAAAAAAAAAATTAAATAAGCCTCATCACAGCTATTAGATGGAGCAGGGAGAAAATTAACACAGCTAACTTGATAACTTTATGTGAGCCTTCTTATCTGGGAATTCAGTGTTCTATAAGAAACGATAGCATTTTCCTGTGGAAACATCTAGAAGCAGAATTGCAAGGCATCTGCCACTTCAATCAACATTCCAAGTGACTGTCCAAATAAGACATTCCCCCTGTTAGAGTTGCCATTTTTCCACCTATTCTCAGTCTCATTATATGAAGGAAAATATTTACAAAATAAAGGTTTGTATGCTACACGCCTTTTAAATGCAAGAAAAACACATTTTATTTTGTCATTTAATATCATTTCAGAATTTCACACTTAAATAAATGTGAGATACATGACAAACATAGCATCTGAAACTCTTCACAATGGTTCCAAGAGGGTGGGCAAAGGAAAACCATAAATGCAAGATTTCGTCACTACTGGTGTTGCTTAAATGACAAGAACAAGTATAGCCTCTTTAGTAATCAAACATAATGATAGCAAAATGAAAAGGACTGACAAAAAATACTCTATCCTTTGCCTGCTTCTACACAAAACACACCAGGAGTCAACAGGATATTCAGGAAGAGCATCTCCAGCTGCATGTGTGAATGGTGCCCTCTAGTGGTCTGAACGATGTATCCTGCAGAGCGGGGACCACAGGAGCTGTTGGAGACAGGAAACTCTCTGGTGGAAGACTTCAAGGTGTTCTATGTCCTAGAGACCCAAATTGCAAAACTAGTTCCAAGTGAAAAGTTCAGTGATACCGCTGTCTTCGAAGTTTCTCTCAAAAACTCAGATCAACAATATCCAAAGTCCTCCCTGGGCACCCTCAGATATCATTGACCTGCATGCCCAGGTGACTGTCAGAACACTCTGGATTCACAAACAGGGGCTCTCATCTCAGTGCAGGAGCCTCCAGGAGTTCTTGAAGTTGCAGTAGCTGAACCTGTGGCTTCAGTACAAGTTCTGCTTTCAGTGGGGACCTGGGCTGCTCTCTAGCAACTTGCTGTCCATGTAACACAAAAGGTAGCCCATGTAGGAGGATGGAGGTATCCAAGTCAATTATGGTCCGAGAAAGATTCTGCCAAGAATGTGAATTGGAAATCGAATGACACAGCAACAGGCACATGCCTGCCACAGTACACCCCGGGCACATTCACTGTGAGCACAGTGGGAGAGTTGAGGGCTGGGGGAGATTTTTAAAGGCAAAGGTAAAAAGAACTACAACACATATTTCCAAATAATAAGTCTTGTCAACTGTAGTAAAGAACAAGAGAGATGTAAGTTCAAAGTTAAACAGACAGTTTCTGGACACCCATCACTGCAGAAGTCTGTTCTAAAAGGCTAAATTCCAGCAGACTCTTGTAAATTCTTGTCAAGCAATTCTGGCTGAGATGTCTTCCTTCATAATGTCCTGGTTTGGTTTTGGTTGGTTTGTTGGTGACGGTGGACACACATGAAAATCCATTGTGATACCAATGACACTGTCAAATTTCAGAGAGTCCAGGCTGTCCTGGCAGACTATAATATCCTGAAGATGCTGCTCTGCTTCAGGGAGGAGAGCAGCAACCTTCAGACCCTGCCATACAAAGGCACTGTAGAGGACCTTATCTCCAAGGTGGAGATAATTTGTGAGACAGGCTGTGCAAGATGGATCTACCTAAGCACACATTGGTTTGAATCTGGCAAGTGCTGTCTTTGTGCCTGTTGCTGTGGCAGTGGCTGCATGAGTCCAACTTTCTCCAGAGCACTAGGAGAGGCACAGTCAGGGATCTATGACTAGAGGGTACTGCTACCCCTCCAGAAGACACTGAGAGTTCAGGAAGCTGTGAGGAAGGGTTGTTAGTTGGGATTAAGTGGGATGTATGAAGGATTGGGGGAGTTGCTTTTATTTTATTTTATTTTTGTTTTTATTATTTTTTTTTATTTTCTAGGGCATTTGTAATTTTTTTTTGAGTTTTTGTTTGTTTGTTTTTGTTGTTGTTTTCAAGAAAATTTCCTACACTGAGCATCTTTATGTGCACATTCAAGAGACTCTTTGCTCTGACCCTGAGAGCATGACTACAGGATGACTTCTGACTCTAGGTCCCTAAAACTCAATGCCAAGGACTTCAGTTAAAATTTCAGCCAAGTCATCAAATGTTTCATACCTCTGCTCAGTTGGGGACATTAGAATTGGGTCCTGAACTGGCAGTTTCTCTTGGTAACTCTGTGGCTGTTGCAGCTATGGATTATAATATCCCCAGTCACTTTGCTGCTGTGCTCCCCACAGATCAAAGAGGTCCATGTCCTGCTGCTGCAGCATCTTTCCCTGCACAGTACTGACACAGGGCAAAGGCAAGCCATCAAATAGTTCATACCCTTCACCCCAGACCTGCTGGTTTCAGGACCTGGGCTGCTCTCTAGCAACTTGCTGTCCGTCGATTGCAATAGGCCCTGGAAGAACACTCAACTCCATTTGTGGAGTAGATGTGCACTCAATCTGAGACCTTGAGTCTTCTCCATTCTTTTGAGAATCCGCATCCTGCTCTTGTGGAAGAGAGGGCAACTGCTGCCCCAAGACATCATGCTTCTCAGTCATTAGAAGTGGGTTTTGAACAGGCAGCTTTTCTTGATAACTCTGGGGCTGTTGCTGCTGTAGATTATAATATCCCCAGTCACTCTGCTGCTGTGGTCCCCACAGATCAAAGAGGTCCATGTCCTGCTGCTGCAGCATCTTTCCCTGCACAATACTGACACAGGACAAAGGCAAGCCATCAAATAGTTCATACCCTTCACCCCAGACCTGCTAGTTTGGGGACCTGGGCTGCTCTCTAGCAACTTGCTGTCCATCGAATGCAAAAGGCTCTGGAAGAACACTCAACTCCATTTGTGGAGTAGATGTGCACTCAATCTGAGACCTTGAGTCCTCTCCATTCTTTTGAGAATCCACATCCTGCTCTTGTAGAAGAGAGGGCAACTGCTGCCCCAAGACATCATGCTTCTCAGTCATTAGAAGTGGGTCCTGAACAGGCAGATTTTCATGATAACTCTGCGGCTGTTGCAGCTGTAGATTATAATATCCCCAGTCACTCTGCTGCTGTGGTCCCCACAGATCAAAGAGGTCCATGTCCTGCTGCTGCTGCATCTTTCCCTGTGCACTATTGACACAGGGCAAAGGCAAGCCATCAAATAGTTCATAGCCCTCACCCCAGACCTGCTGCTTTGGGGAACTGGGCTGCTCTCTAGCAACTTGCTGTCCATCTAACACAAAAGTGTCACAGGAGCCATTCTCTTCACGGGGGAGTCCCCGTGTCTCCACAGGAAAGGAGCCAGCGTTTCCCTGTGGAGCCTGCTGGAGGCAAGAAGGCTGTGCAGTGGCTGTTGTCATATTGCATCTGGGCCTCCTGGTGACCTAAAACAGGGAACTCATGTCTCCTTCTGGTGACAACCGCTCTCTGTTTCTCTTTGAGTCAGAGTCTGCATCTTTTATTTTGAAACCAAATCTAAAAAGAAAGAAATTATTTTCAATAAAATATTTTATACTAAATCTTAGCTTCAGCATTATTACTGACTTGCTCATTGGCCTGGGGTAGACACACTAAAGGCAATCTATTCTGGGCTGAACCATGGAGGTTATTGTGGAGGTTATGAACAGTGCACAATTCCAAACTCCCAACTCTTCCCAGTATCTAACCAAACCATTCTGTCCATGTGAACACAGGCTTTTCAAAGTCTCCCCACAACCTCTCTGCAACCTAGGAGAGCCCCAGGTGCCCTGTACACTTTCCCACAGCCTCTTGATTTTTCCCAAGCTGCCCCATCAACACCCATTCAAGACTCCATATCCTGTAAGGTTATTCATGAATTTGTTGCATTTAAAAGCCATAAACAGAACAAACAAAAGTTTGTCAAAACTGGACAGTGTATTATAGATGTGATCCTAACAATCGAATAGAACAACTCTAGTCTACATTTTTTTCTCCTGCATCAATTCACAATAATTGCAATGCCAGCCATAGTCCACAAAGCTTTGAGGTATGTGTTTAAAAATGACAAAATGCTTTCTAGAATAGGTAACTTAATTAGCTAGGGTTGCAGAGGCTCACAGTCAAGAGTGTCTGGAAGCATTTTGATATTTGATCACTCCTGAAACCCTTCTCCCAATCAGGATGAATTTAGGTTAACATCTAGGAAAATCTTTGATCCCCACTTAGGAGGTTTAAAATTATAACTCTACATAACAAAACTGGTTCTTCTAAATGCATGTTCTCATTTTCCCTTCCAACGCAATTAAACACAAAGAAAATAAGGTGTGAGCATCCATCATTTTTCAACAGTTAGCAGGTGGGTTCAAAATGATGAGACCAAAAGGCAGGTGCTCCCTTTCTCATTTCCAGACTCCCGAGGATCCTCTCCCTGACCATGCTTGCTTCCACATCACATGGGCTTATTCTAAACTGTTGCACTGCTTTTCAAACCAGTTCCTCTCCCTGACATTATCGGTTATGATTTTCTACTTCTTAGTATAGCATCATTGATTTGCAGGATGTTTGAAATGTTTCCATTTCATGGAACATTTGAAATACAATAAATTCATAGCTGACAGAGAATTTGCTATTCCTTTATTTTGCAACACTGTTATTACATTCCCTTTCCTATTTTCTTTAAGAAAATGTTCTCCTAGTCTCAGACAACAAATATTTTCAATAAGCATTGGATATTGATAGAAGAGAGATATATGCAAACCCAATTCACTATACATTAGGACAATGCCAATACAGTGAAACTTTGTGCAGCATAAACAATAATTCACAAAAATCATCATATCAGAGATTCCCAAAACAAAATATTGATTCATGTCCCAAATGGCTACAAAGTGCCTACTAATGCTATGAGGTGACACATGTGGGACATAATTGAACCAAGTCTTTCTCCTGCACCTTGGGTGATCACCTCTTGGGAGTTAGATTGGCATACAATAGTGAGCAGTTTGCAAATAAAATCCTCCAATGTCTCTGCCAAAAAACAAATCAGGACAAATTGAAGTCCCATCCTTAAATCTTATCACTTAATACTCAACATCTCTGCAAACTCTTTGTCCCAACTTTAAAATATCCAATCTTCCCAGTTTTCCATAATTCCATAGACAGCACCATGATCAAAAACTGGCACAGTTCCTATTCTGAATAATTCCTGAGCATGTTAATGGGTGCCTACTCCCAAAGTTGCCTCACGGTTGTTGATTTTTTCATAAAAGTAACATAATAAATTCACTCCCACACTGAAATGAAACTGTGACAAAGATCAACAATATCCTATGTGAAGAAATGACATGAGACATTTTCAAAGACTCGTTGTATTTACTGCATTATATAAAAAAAGATATGTTCATGCAAGTTTTCCAAATTTTGACTTACGTTGATTGAGCTGATGGAGCAATGCATTTGCTTGGCCAGCTCTTGCTGGGTCCCAAAATCTGCGTAGGAATTCTGTTCAAATGATCGATTAAGAATCTCCAAGTCATGTTTTGTAAATTTGTGCCGCGGTTTTCCTAACCCTTTTTCCTTTTTTGTTTCTTCTACTTCCATAGGACTATCTTCAACTGAAGATGCTAAAAGTGCAGAAACAGAAAGAAAAAGATTGAGGATTGCCAGTAGAATCCAGAGGAAAAAAATATTATTTGTTCACCAAGATTTTAAAAATGCAGAGCTCTGCCTCACAACTTATTCATGTTAATAACACAAAAATGGATTAACTGCTGATCCTTAAAAAATATGAGGAGAAGATGAGATTATAATCTGAATGGTAGAGAAGAATTTTAGTCTAGCCAAAATTCAAAATATATAAAAAGAGACAAATAAAAAATGTTATGTCATAACAATAATTGAGAAAATACAGATAAACCAGCTCATATCTATCTGATAACCAATACTTTAAATGGTTGGTGGAAGATTAGGGGATGAATAAGATTATATAAAGTAGAAAGAAAGCATTGGGTTGTGACAAGTATTTATCATTCTTCCATAGAACACAAAAATGAGACATTCATTTCTGATTCAAAAGAAATTAAATTTAACAACTGGTCCTGAGAATACTGGATATCCACATGGAAAGGATAGAGTTGGACCTTTTATCCAATAGGGAAATATTAACTCAAAATTCAAAGAATTATAAATAAAGCTAGAAAAATGCAAAAAAAAACTTGCCTCAAAAAGAAACTTGGGAGAATGTTTCATGATATTGAATTTGACAATGATTTCATAGATATATCATCAAAAGCACAAACAAAAAAATTATTACACTATAACTAAATAAAAACTGTGCATGAATGGACACAAGGAAGAAAGTGAAAGGACAATCTGTGGAACAGGTGAATCCCTTTGAAAACCACACCTGAGAGAGCATTGATAATAGACATAAAGAACCATATCTCTAAAGTGGGCATTGGATTGGAATAGATATTTCTCCAACTAATTTAATTAAATTGTCATTAAGCCTGTGAAAAGATGGTCAACATTACAAATCATTAAGAAAGCCAAATTCAAATTCACAGGAAAATCAAACCTCACTCCGATAACCAATGCTACTATCCACAAAGCAAATAAGCAAAACAAAACTACTGCAGAGGAGGAGCAGAGGAACTGGAACCCCTGATGCCCTGTGGGTGGGAAGACAAAATGGTGTAGCTACAATGGAAAAAAAGTATGGTCATTGCTCAAAAATAATTAAAAATTACTATATTATCCAGCAATATCATCTGTATGAGGTACCTAGAGGAGTCAAAGTCATCGGGATAAAAGTACAATGATAGTCCTCAGGGACTGGAGAGGGGGTTGTGGGGGGGGGGGTGTGTGCTTTAATTGTCACAAAGTATCAGTTCTATAAGGTTAAAAGAACTCTGTGGAGACTTGCTGGAAATGGTTACAGGACAATGACATGTAGGTGATGCCACTGAAGTGTACATTTAAAAATGGTGGTGAGGGTAAATTTTACCTGTTTCATTAAAATTAAAAAA